TGACTTATGACAGTCACACCAACTCCGTCTTTGTCACTCATGTCACAGGTGACGAGGTAGGGCAACAGTCCTCCTTCACCATCAGGATCTATCAGACAGATTCCACTTTTCGCTTTAGGATCGAGCCTCTTTAAGTCACTGCAAGATCTTGATAATACTGTGAAAAGAAATGAAACCCTGATGAGATGAGTAACAAGTCGCCTGAGCTGTCTAAGGAGGTTTTTAGTTAAAATAACAAGGAAGACTTCGATTCAGCTATCTGAACTTTCACAGTTCCACTTTGGAGCGTAGGTGGGTATCAGAAAATGCAGGGAAACATATTCCTGGGATGGGGGATTACGCGTTATGAACTAGCAGGAGAGGCCACAGTACACCCAATCTCGTAGAAACAAACTTGAGCCTAAAAGTGATTCTCATTAAAAGCCCATTGTACCGTTGCAAATGAAAATACGTTTCCTATTTTTCAGTGACAAAGGCCAGCAGATTCCATTTAACAGGGTTCATATTTTCAATTTGCTGTCAAGTGACTATGGTGGTTGAATCGACTTTCTTCGTGGTTTGAGCTATGAAGGCTCACATGTAGGTGACTTTTTGTGTCCACCAACAGATTTTTTCTTCTGTTTTGGGAATAAATGTTGATCACGGATCAGGGACAACTAAATTTTCAAAATCGCGAAATCAGTGTAGTACCACTGCAGTTTGCTCCAGCGTAACCGGGAACACAAACACATCGAAACCCTTTGCTGGTGAAACCAACTTGGCAAGTTCCGTTATTGACACAAGGGCTGCTACTACAGGGATTCTGTTCAAAATAAAAAAAAAACGCATTGATCAAAAAAGAGGAAAAGCATGTTTTTTCATTTACTTATATTCGCCACACAAAAATAAAAATTTACAAGCTAATGAAGCACGATAAACTGCATACACAATAATGTGTATGGCCAGGCTTATACATCTATATGGTTGAGTTTCCTCCGAAAAAAAAGCAAAAATTATTTTCGATATATAATATCGAATAAGACGTGAAAGTTTGAGGTCAAGTTCGGATCAAGGCGAAGAATGAAGAAGAAACAAAAAAAATCCTAGTCTAAAATTGTAAAGTGCTGAGCAAGAGCACGACTTTGAATTCTTCTGATGTCAAACATAACTTTAACTTTAAGCAAAGCATGTACCTCAATCGCCAGGTAGTAAGCATCCACTTCTTTAAAGAAGGTCAATTTACTTTCATCAACCGTGGCGTTATTCAACTCACAGTTGTACTTTCCTGCGTCTATAGGTTTCACATTTATGGAGACACAGTTTGGCTCCATATAACACATCGTGCGACAGCTCCCCTCACTGAGGACCTCACTTCTCCTAATCACATGCCCCTTAATTGCCCTATTTGCTATCGGTTCCTCAAACAGGATGATGCGACACTCGTCAGCTGAAAAAAAATACAAAAAACAAAAAGACAAAATTAAAGAAAACTTACAACCAAGGTTTCCAAACGTGTGTATTGGCTGTTGATTTCATTTTCTATCATATAATTAACAATGAACATTCGCAAAAAGTATTATTTGCAGGTTTGAAATACAGAATGCATATGAATTTCGATTTTCAGCTTGGAGTTTACGAGCGTAAAAATAAGACGAGCCAATTCAAAAATATGAAAAACTCGCGAAGGATTTGTCGACGAGGAGTGAAATAAGCTAAAGAAATTAAACCAAAACAATTAAAAAAATATGCTAATATGGCACTGCTTCCACGGTAGGTCCCTACCTGTGCATCCTCCACAAAAGGGAAACACGATTCCGGAGAAAATGACAAAGATAGAGAAGATTAACGGCGTCTCAGGGTCAAATTTATGCAAAGACATCATTTCCACATTTTCTTATGTTGAATCAGTCACATCTTGAAAGCAAAATGAATAAAGGGTGAAAGTTTTATTCTTAATAAACTGTGGTGCTGCGTCGGTGAGGGTAACAAGCCCTTCGTCTTTCGCTCTGACGAAGGGCTAACTCTCGAAACGTCAGCATTGAACTCTTTACGCGGTGGCCAATTTACAATTTCAAATTAATTGATATAACCAAAACATCTTGAAAGTGCCGACGTAAATGAGACTTTTAGCTTCCTTCTCACACGAATAATGACAATACCTGACAGATTGCCGGACTACTTTTGTTATTTTGGTGAAGCCCCACAAGCAATTTCCGCTTCTTCCGAAGTTTAAATCTTTTTATCATATGCCACTGGTAGTTTGGAAAATAAGGAATGCCGGAATTTGGAACCGGAGCCTAATGGTCATGGCCTAGTAGTAGGTGGAGATCCGTTAAAATTGTAAAGAAACTTCGTTTGATATCTATTTGGAGGAACTGAAAAAAGCTAAGAACTGTTGTCACAAAGTTGCCTTAGGAATAGCGCAAAGAAAAGGAAAAATAGACACTTACCAGAACAACCATGGCAAGATGGAAATACAACTCCAGATAAAACGCAGAGGAAAGAAACTGCAGTCACGATATCGAGCTCAAAGTTATATAGAGGAGACATTCCTCAAAAGAAATATGCAAGAATATTCGATTACAACGTTGTAAAAAGCAATAAACCACCTATACTTCAAAAAACTACGACAGGTGTATACCAAAAC